AGTGCATTACACAGGAAAGGGGCACAAATTATCATACTGCAAACTATCAAACAGCACAGAAATAACCTGCCAGACACTGTCACATCCAGTCCAGATAGAGCAGCAGTACTACACCTGACTGAAATTGCATAGTCAGACGAGAAATGGCTTGGTATGGTATTAGTAAACTAAGGAGATTATGAAAGGAGAAAACATCCAGACTATAAGTGAGCAGGTGGAAAGAAGAAGACCAAGAAGAAGATGGGTACAGCTGGGACAAGTCCTAAAATGGAAGAAAAAGAACTCCGAGTGCTCCCAATAGGAGTCGAACCAACGACCTTCCGATTATTTCTTCGGATGCCAGGCTTACAAGTCATCATCTTCATTTACATCATCCAAAAATTTGAGGCGTGAGGCGCACGCTAAGTTGGAACTGCTCGGAGTCTAGCACCAAATTTCACGGTTAACCCGCCAGTGAATTTGAACACTGCGCGTAACTTGCGCGCACTATTAAATATACTGCTGTAGCTTGCTGTGTTCATAAATAAGTTTAATCGATAAGTTTCTTGTCTCTTAGACTTTGTGCTAATCTTGATTAATTGGTAATCGGACTTTGAGTCGCCCATTTCTGCCATTATGTAGTCATAAGAGTGATGAAAAAAAGAAAAAACTCCTTGGGTACATGCCTGGTAATTGTTCCCTTGGTATATCACGACGAAACTGATACGCTAGCTCCTTGAAATTTCGTAATGCACATCTGTGACAAAGCACAGTTTCTGAATTGACATCATGGCTTGCTGCATCTATAGGAGAAAATAACCAGGCATGCATGGGCGTTCTTTTATATTGAGGGTTAATTTAAGTCGACCTCCAATAAATTGAACTTAAGCTAACTCGAACCTTGCGCTACTCCGAACCAAAATCGATCCCCCCAAGATTTCTGTTACAATTTACAGCAATGCATATGAAAACAGAAGCTAAGTAACAAGAAAATCTTTTAACCAACCGCTATCGCGTACGTAGCCGGAAGGGAGAGGGGGGAGGGGATGGAGTGTCTAGAGTGCACTTAGCCCCTAAATTTGTCCTTATCTAAAGGACGTCTACAAAGGCCAGAAGGCCGCTAGCACTAAACACCCCCTACCGTCCCCTCCCTCTTGAGAAGATCCTTCCTATTAACTACTTTCACTACAGATCGTAAAAACAGCGCACCACCCACCGACTGTCGTGTATTCTTTGGAGTCCAGTTTTTATA